GGACAATAGGCTAACCAATTATTTCTTCATCATTTTTCCTTGAATCAACATACTACATTGCACATGCGCCAAGATTGATGTTCAATAGGTCGTTCGTCTATATCATAATGTGGACGCGTCGTCGAATTGAATTTTTCTTATGTATCCTAAGGTATTTGCATAAACGCACAGGAAACCTGTTTTCTTCCCCCAAATAGGATTTTCCGATTGAATAACTTCAAATAAGCTCAGATGACGAAAACGAAATAGCACGAGTCAAACACAATACGCATCTCTTCATGTATGGATTGGCTTGCTGTGCGTATCTATAGATTCCAGAGAGAAGATGGGAGTGAGTATTCAGAGAGTAAAGAGAAGAGAATAAGAGAGAGAGAGAGAGAGAGAGAGAGAGAGAGAGAGAGAGAGAGAGAACCACAGAGAATTCTGCGAAAGACAGAGACATTCCGAGGAAAGAGAGAGAACCGGAAGTTAGAAACTCGGCACCCTGGTCACGCGCCTGACCTAAATTGAAATTCTTGTTTCGCGCAGCATTTATCATGCGGTTCTGTGGCTGATCTTTGGAATTGTTTGGCTTAGTCTTCAGACCTTGCTACCTGTTAGAGAGACAGGGTAAAGGGAAGAGAGCGTTAATTACCAAGGGCGCGTAATCCACCCTTAAAGGTCGGGCCACATTCCGCGCGTTTGAAATAGTCTAAGTTTTCACTTGGAGTTCCTCGCTTTTCTTTCTTCATTTCTTCATTCACTATTTTGGCCTGTGTATCTCAATTTTGATATCTGGATCAGTGCGGAGCAATTTGATAATTGCTTTCTCGAAAATCAAGCAGTAATACTGCTCGTTAATGAAATATTAATATCTCGTCTCACCATACTTATTCCTAACAACTTTTGTTCTCGTAGATATCGTATAATTGTAATGACGGAACGTCGTTGTATATTTATTTACATAGGTACAAATTTTGATAATTTAATGGTATTCGAATGAATTGATTTAACATCATGGTAACCCTTTTTTTCTACAAAAAATTTTCAGTTGTACAACAATATCTATGCAAGTATTTTACAAAGTTTCCTCGACTCGACGTCCGAGCGACACCTTGTAATTTATCTTCGGTACTTTCTCTCGTAAAAGCGACCGAAAAGATAAATTTTATGATGAGAGTTAAGTGTACCGTAAAAATATCTCAGCTGTTTTACCTGAAAAAATAAAGACGTCATACAAAATAAAGATAAACCGTTATTACTACTCGCGAGAATGCCTGCTGACAGAGCGTTAAAGAAAAAAAAAAGTTTCCGTAGAAATATCGATTGCTAATATTAGTTAGCCATCATTGCGTGAATCTGGATAACGTGACAACTTTTGAAAGTCGTTACAATCGTCTCTACATTTCCACATCCCCGTATCCCTACAACACTAGCCAGTGTATTACAGATATTCACAGTTCAACAGCGAGTTAAAAAAAAAGCTACGAGAACGTCGAAAAAGAGAAAAAAAATGAACGAGTCCTCCATTTAAAAAATTGCAGAGATACCCCATTCGAATGCCAGAGTGATACAGTGTATCTGCCGTAACAGGAACCAAAGAGTAGCACTCGAATGTCGATTTGTCAATCAGTAACGACTATATATATACATGCCATAGCGGAACACGATTACGTCAGTATCGATTGATAAATTTGGTATTCCCATATACCAACCTCTCTACGTCACGTAAAGTCGGTATAAGTTAATTCTAAACCGCACCATAGACAAAGTTGTGTATTTGGTTGTCAATGGAATAGCTTAGAAGTATATAGCATAGCTTTGTTTACGAAGCTACTTAAACCCATAGCTTTAGCATCCAAATCAGAGTTTAGTTACCCTATTGGATAACTTGGCTAATAAGATGCTAAGCGGTTTGAGTCTAGGGGTGTCTAATGTGGCGAGAGATACACGCGAGATTCGCTGGTTGGCTATATATATATTATATATATATAGTACTCTATATATATATATGTGTGTATTCGTACATAGTCAGTGCTTTTGAGAATAGGGTGTTGCGTCAGGGATTGTGCAAGAGCAAGGAGACTGAGATGAGAAACGTGGATGAGACGCGTCAACACTTGAGGATTATCTTAATGCTCCCTCGACAGCCCATACACCTACAGTCTGGCTTCGTATAGCTGTCTTCTGACAGACGATTACCCTCGCTCATCCGAGCGAATAAGCCAAGCTTAATCGATTTAACATCATTTCGTGACTTTATGTCAAGCCCTGGGCGTTCAATCTTGAGAAGGGAGAAGTATCTTCTTAGATGGTCACTATTTTATTAAGGAAGCATGATGCCCTTTGGCGTTTCACGTGAAAAAAATTGTATACATATACATTTATGAATTTGCGTAATGTAACATATATGAATAGTATATATATTCATTTTAGCATATTGGCATATCATCTGATTAATTCGACAAATGATCTTAAGTTAGACATTTGACGTTATAAACAATCTTTCTCGACAGAATATATTCTATTCATTTATTACATATCAGGAAATAGTGATTTGGAGGATATATACGATGTGCGTCATTGATACTCTTGGTCGGAAGTAATCCGTTTATTTTTGGTTGGAAGTAATCCTAGCAATAGGGAAGCTTAGTGCAAATGTGTAGTGCTGAATCATATCGCTCTTATTATTGATTGTCCTTACAGTCAATCGCCCTGATATACCCATTATGGGTTTGGCTTTTGGTTTTGGTATACGAGGACGTAAAGTCAGATACTTGTGACGTTAATGGTTAAGGAATATGGGCAATCGAGGCGGCGCTAAGGAGGTTCCTATGAATAAATCAACTGTCGTAAAGCGAGTCATGTTTGTATAGCGCTGCAATAGGAGTTCTTGGCTTGCATCATTGGTTAGTACTTGTTTACTAAAAGCCTTACTAGATTTATATAGCGGATCTAGCGTTCCTTTGAAGTATAGATTACGGGATCGATACGTAAATGTCATTGCTTCGTAACATCCCTATTTCGCGTTTACTTTAGCTGCCGCTATAGGTACACAGTAGCTAATCTGGGTAATTTCCAATGAATAACTCACAACCCATCGTCGTTTTCATTAGAGCGAATATTTATTGGTATATTTAGGGATCAATGCACATATATTTCTGTCAATTGACATCGATTTATACAGAGATGTTAATTACTTTAAGATTAATTTCTCTAAAAACTTTCCGAAACAAACTTTTCTTCGAAATGAATAAAATTTTCTAGTAGATACTTATTATGATATACGTGAGAGAATTTCAGGGGGAGGAGGGGGGTAATTAGTATCGATAGATTATTCTTGTTGCGATTAATTTTCGCATTTCGTATTACTCTAGGGAAAACATCTCGAAAGTTTTATGTTGTAGCCTAGTACTATTTCGATATATAGTTAAGTGAAATTGAACGATTACTAATCCAAACCACGTTAAAATCATCAGTACGCAGTATTAAATGGCTACTCCATAATGATTTGCCAAATCAAATTTGTAATGATTAAATAGAGCAGCCCGCGCTTGTCAACTGCAGAAATGCACTTTGGCAAACGTTCGATCAGGGATTCATCTGCAGGCAAAATCTAATGGCTTCATGAATGATTATGCAAATTAACAAGAGGTAAGGGTTGCTCGTAGCTTTTAATAAAAGAAGCGGAGGAACGCGAAGCAACCCCTACAGCAACGACGTCATCTCTGCGTAGCCTTTCGTTATTTCACTCAGACTCGACTAGTATAACGGACAACGTTTTTTCACTGAAGAAAAATTTACCAGACTCAAACTGGCTCGTTTGCCAGCGACAGATTGTTTCATTTTCATAAATATGCTCACCCGCTTCAACCACGTTGCCATCCAGCCAGTCCTTCTATCACTCCCTATAGTACTTCGCATTACTCCCTACTAGTTTGCTATATATATATATATATGTATATATACACATATATATATAACATCAACGGGTGACGGTGCATTTCCATCCACAGCGAATATTTCACCGAATGACAGGATGTCTGATGTGAACGAACCTTGGGCTCAAAAATAAAATACGTATAACTCCATCAAGATTCGACATCAAAGCCTACTACCATTCACGTGATTATAATTTTTCAGAGCACAGATAAAAAAAGGCTCGTTGTGTTTCTATTGACGTTTTCTATTTACATCTATCAACACAACATATACGTGATTCCAATGTATTATCGTTATTGATAACAATTGTAAATATTTGCAACGATCGCCAATTGAAATAATGATATGGCCTAAATAAGTGAAATGATTGTTTTGGTCGTACGATAGATAAACTCATAGCCATTGCTTCTGATTATACTATATTGTACATCAAGGAAGGTACCCGATACGAAGGCCCAGAGATGTATATCGTCTCATTGAGATAATGCACGGCTAAGTGGATATCCATTCTGTACATGTTGCATCTCCTGGTCTATCAATCTTGATCCCACGGTACATAAGCACGCTTCGCAATCTTGTATCAGACGGATATGTATAGTATATATACACTATACTATGTTTAGTATATGTATATGATGGAGATGCAAAGACCAAGAGAGCTCTTCGTTTCGGCGCCAATCATCTCACAATTAGTTCTGACTGTTCCTGTAGTTCTAAATATTTCACGAGATCTTGATTAAACTTGATAAAACGTTTTTACTCATCCAGTAGTATTTTAAATGCTTTACCAATCAAGTAACTGATTAGCTGAAATTTGCGTGTATTAAGTATAGTAAGTATACATATGTCCGATATCTGTTTGTTGATTAATTAGAAAATTTGACTGCGTGCTAGGAGTTATGATATTTGTTGGATTGAGTTAAACAGATGCGATATTAATTATTAATAACATAATAACACATATACATATATTATTAATGCAGATGATAATACTGTATAGAGATTCTATACATCTTCACACGCGTGAAGAATATATTTTTAGGATATTCCCAGTTGAGAATTTTAAGATAAACCCAATGTTTAATTCTTTGGATTAATTTATTTTATTTCTGTACTGGACCAGAATACGATATCGATGAAATTATAAATTGTAAGATGATTCTTGCTCGTTAAACAATTCACACAAACTGTACGGGAGAAATGAGGTAAAGATAATTTTGAAATTATTTAAGAAAATTTATGAAGATTCATGGAGATTTCTAATAAACCCATTACGATTATCCTAGCTTATGATATATTTACATATGAGTGCGTTAAAATAAAAAAAAAAGTAATTATTTTAAATTAGGCATCATGTTGTGCAATGTCGTCCAGATCAGAGTTGTTTAAACCATTCTAGGTCGTAATCTCAAAGACGGCTACGTTGCAGCATATGGCACTTGGTACACACGTATACATGTTTTTCATCTCAAGTGCTTTTGTATCCAGTTGACAACCATTTCTCGTATACAAATACAACGGGACAGAGTTTGCACCCTACTGACCCGGAGAACAAACGAGCTGCTAGCGGTACTTCTACCTACCACGAGGTCGTCTAACGTTCAAGTATCACGGATGAAAAGTCTTAGAGCCAGTCGACAAGTGAATTACTGCTTGTTAAGACGTATGTAACGTCTACGCCATTGGCCCTAGAGCTTATCATAGGATATTGATACCCTTATCGATATCCTATATACGACACGTAAATTTCCTACGTGCGTACATATTCACATCAGATATCTAAGCATGTATTTCGGTGTACGTGTGAAGAAAAGATCCGGCAGAAAATATTGTCCAGCAAAGCTGGTGACTTTGATAGAATTCACGCGCACAGCAATACATGCTCAGTTATTGAATATGCGCGCATACGCGCATAGCCACTATACGAAGTAAATTAATAACGTCGGTAAAACTTCTTGTCTCTTATTCAAGTACAACAAACCACTGATAATAACACGAGTTTCATTATGAAATCAGGTTTTATCTTGGTTCCATCATAAAAGCCTTTGTTCAGACTTTTGGTATCACAGTGATCCATCGATGAGTGTTGTTGTTTAAATAAAAATCCATAATTTGGCTTCGTTTGATGTATGATGGTAAGCAGGAAAAGCAACTATCCTGGATTTACAACACGAGCTTAGCTATGTCCGTGGTACTTATTTGATACTAAGCTTCGGAACGTGAATTACGGTTACTTATTTTTCCTTTTCAAATAGAATGCTTTCAGCGCTGATTATTTTCCGCTCGTAAGACTGAGCATAAAGTTAAACGTGTCTGTACGAATTGGCTTGCGAAGCCAGGTTGCAGGCAGGCCAGAATGATCCTTGTTCTTGTCGAATAAAGATGATTACTCTTTTCTTCCTCTTTCGCGCACTTTTCTTGAGGCACGTGAGCCACACGCCGCGTCGTAAAAAATATTTACAGCAACTTTCGCGAATTTGCATGTTGTCAAGAAAATATGTAGCTGGCTGACTTCTTAAGAACTTTCGTAGTCGTCTTTTCCTCGTGCAATTGTTTCTGAATTTGCGACAAACTTCTACCTTCGGTTTCCGGTACGATCACGTATATAAGAAGCCAGTTGATTAGAGTGGCAATAATGAAGATCCATAATGGCGCGTGGATACCGAAGACATCGGCAAGTTCCTGTAACGAAGTAAATAATGTAAATAATGGACTTTACCCAAGAAACTTTTTTCTCTTTCATTTTTCATGTTACCAACCTGATATATCTTTACTATCAAGATGGAGAGGAAGGAGTAATACAAAGCGCAGAACATGGCTGCAAATGATTTTATACTGTCGGGAAAGATTTCACCCTGATACGAGTAGGCAATGGAATCGAGTCCGACACCATATGAGATTACGTAAAGTATCACAAAGACCATCGGTATCCAGTTAACAACTGTTATGTCGACTCCAAGTGACTGTAGTAAGAAGAATATGGCCAGTGCTACGAGACAGCCGGTTGTAGTTGGAGCCGAAATTAATAATAGCTTCCTTTTTCCAGTGAATTTAACTAATGAGACACAAATTACTCCTGCAAACACAATGGCGACGCCCGTGATTATTACGCTTATATTTGTTGATACCTTCATTCCTGCTTGGCTGTATATGTTTGTTTGATAAGAGAGGATAGCTGGAATACCGGAAAAGACTAGGGACGTGAAGAGTACGATAATTATTCTGAAGGCCTTTCTCGTGCCACGTCTCTGCACAATCTCCTTTACGGAAACGTATGCATTAACGAAGCAATTGGCAGGTTCGTTTGATACTATCTTTTCAATTTCATCCATCTCTTGGCTGATATCTTCTTTGCCGAGGGTCCATCTCAGTACCGATTCTGCCCTTGCGACTTTATGAACTTTTCTCAGGTACATCGGCGATTCGGGCATCCAGATGAACAAGACGAGAAAAATTGATGGTATCCAGATGCAGATAATCGAGAGCGATACTCTTGACAGGTAGAGACCTAATACGTAGGCGATTAAGATGCCAACATTGTTCATCAACGCGATGAAGGTGCTCAATGGTCCTCTTGTTCTTTTGTCGGTCACTTCGCCGATATAAATAGGAATAACACACAGGCTGATACCGGAACCAACGCCGGCGAAAAATCTTCCCAAATAAAGTATCGAGTGGTCGTTTGCCAATGCGAAACAGAGCCAGCTGCCAGTTTTTGGTATAGCCGCGCAAATTATACTCCATTTACGTCCGATTTTATCCATCAAGTACAAAGCTAAAAGTGGTCCTGTTACACCACCAACAGAGAGGTAGTTAATGACCCACGCACTTTGCTTTGATGTCACTTGAATCGGATCGTCACCGCCCATCAGTTTTGGTATCATTGAAGTGCTCCAGCCTTCGTGAAGTCCATTGTCCAGCATTAGAAACGTACCTGACATTTAATCGTTGTGTTTTTTTTTTCATTTACATATTCTTTAATTAACAATTATTATATTTTGTCATATAGGATAAATTTCTTATTCTTATATATTTAGCTCTTACGCTATTGTGGTACTTACATAATACGCCTGCTACAATTTGACGAACTACACCGATATCCACGCGAGAACAAAAAGGCAATTGTGTGATTGTCATAACTCGTGAAAAATTATCTTTATATTAACATGTGGCTCTGAAAATTAAAATTGTCAATTTTGGCTTTTATGGAAAACCGGGTAAGATAGTATATGGATTTTGGCTACGTGTATCACAAAGCCCACCTTGATCATCAGACTAATGAATACCCAATGAATCTTTGCGGTGTAAATGGTAGCCAACAAATTTATCTGGAGGACAGAGTGATCGATTAACACGGAAACGTGATCATGTCATCAAATAGATAAAAGATTGATTATGATTTCGAGAAATGGAGAGACGCGTATTTCGCTTACGGGAAATACATATTAATATTATCAAAACTAATATATTTACTGTGTAGTAAAATTAGTTCTTTCAAGTGCAATAAAAAATGTTCAATTCTCTGAAATTTTAAACAAATGCATTACATAACTTGCATTATTGCATTAGGGTTGCACGAATGTACTGGCTCGTTATATATAACATGAAAAATTCAGTACGTTTTAATGTATAAATAATTTATCGATAACAGGAAGTGCGGCAAATTCAACTTTGGAATATTGATAAAACAGATTCATAATAAAATTATTGAAGATAGATTATCTTAACGTTTCTAAATAATCTTTTCACAGATTCATAGATTATCAACTGTCTGACTGGCGTTGTTATCCATTATACATATATTGTCTATCCTTATCGTATACACGGGTTATGTAGATGCGTAATATGTAACTGAAAATTATACAAATGAAATAAATATATATACGGTTGGAGATTTATAGAATACAAAATTATTGATTATATCTTGCAATTTAATATTTCAGCAACAAACTCCAAATTTTACAATTAGTTCTTTTTCTAATACACATAAAAAAAATATTGTATACAGATCCAACAACTGTCGACGTCGAATTTCTATGCACGTAAAGACCATGATCTTGAAATATTTGAAAATATTTACACGAGAACAGTACGAAAGTAAATGAATATTATAAACCGTAGATCGATTGTTCGTGTTCGCTTGAAAGCAATGATCGCTTCGAAGAGTACTACGCGAAAGATATAAGAACCAATTTGGTTTGATATGATTCATATTTAACTTAATGTTCACGCTGAATGGATTATCAAAATGAATTTAATACTTTTTATTTAATCAACTCAACTTCATGTGTTATATGATATATTTATCTCCATACATTACTAGTGAGATAAGTGACCGAGGCTGTCAGCGTGACGTCAAACGAGATATTACTGACGCTCAGCTATTAATGACACTAGCATCAGTTGGCTTCTTGTCCTGCCCCGCCATTTCCTTTTGAATATCTTCCAAGGTCTTCCCTTCCGTTTCCGGTACATACAAGTAAATAAATATCCAAATAACAATCGTCAAACTAGCCAACGTCCACATGGGTACATAGGTCCCATACGTTTCACGTAAAACCTAAGGTCATGAAAATTCGTTAAAAATAATTATTTCCTCACAGCAAATAATCATCCCAAGACGTAGACATAACTTCTCACCTGATACAATTTAGTCACCACGGTGGTAGACACTGAGTAAAATATTGAGCAGAACATGGCAGCTGGCAATTTGACATCAGGAGCGAATATTTCCCCTGCATAAGCAAGAGGTATGGGATTGATGGCAAGACCATAGGCCACAACAAAGATAACTACAAAAACCGTAGGGATCCATCTGAAGTTAGGCATGTCGATTCTGTAGGACCAGAAAGTGAAGAAAATGGCAATGGTTCCCAATGAAACGGCACAGAGAGGCATAGCTATGAGAAGCAGAGTCTTTTTGCCGGTAATCTTGACCACGCAGACACAACAAATACCAGCAATTACAACAGCGCAGCCGGTAACGAGGATGCTGGCATTAGTAGAGACATCAAATCCAGCTTCCTCATATATATACGACTGATAAGCAAGGATCGGGGTCGCTCCGGTAAAGCTTAAGGCACATAGCAGAATAATAATAATGCCAAAGGCTTTACGGTTGACCCGCTCGCTAATTCTTTTGAAGGAAATCAAGATGCCGACAGTGTGCGTTTTGTCTTTTGAGATAGTACGTTCGATCTGCTGAAGTTCCTCGAGCACATTGTCCTTACCTAAGGACCATTTGAGTGCCCGCTCAGCCTCCGTTAATCTGTTTGTTCTAGCGAGGAAGAGTGGACTCTCTGGCATCCAGACAAAGGTCAGTGCAAAGATTATTGGTAACCAGACGGAAATAATGCCCAAAGTAAATCGGCTGACGTGTAAACCAATGACGGAGACAATTAGCATTCCAGTGTTTATAAGAACGGCTGTCATGGTACCCAATGGACCTCTGGTCTTTTTGCTACTGATTTCACCTATGTAAACGGGTGTGATGGAATAGGCAATACCACAGCCGAGACCTGCTAGGAATCTTCCGATATATAGAGTCACGTGATGCTGACCAAGAGCTAACAAAAGCCATCCAGCTGTTAGGGGTATCGTCCCTGAGAGCAAGGACCACTTGCGTCCAATTTTTTCCATGAAGATCGGTGCGATTAGCGAAGTCAATCCGACCCCCACGTACATGAAATTTATGATCCAAGAGCCTTGATCTGGCGTTACGGTTATCGTTGGATCATTGCCATCCAGTTTTGGGATCATTGATGTGCTCCACCCTTCATGAAAGCCACAGCCCAGCATCATAAGATTGCCTATGAAGAGATTCGACGTGTAAACGAGCGTGTGAGATTTTTATTTCTTTATCTTTAATTATTCGTTCGAATTGTCTTTCATTTTTATTCAAGAAAGAAGAATATTTTTTCGATACTTACATACCAACCCAATCTGTATTTGACGGCAAAGCCCTAGATTAAGTTTTGGAAGCTTCATAAAGACTTTCTCGATTGAAAAGTTTTTTCGCCAGCTAGGAAAGTAAAAATAAAAATAATATTTGATTAATAAAAAAATGATAAAACATATTCAAATGTATTTAATGTAGCACTTATTACATCTTTTCGAAAAATTGAGATTACTTACTTATCACGGTAATCCTAGTACCAACGGTACGAAATGTCTAGAGGATTGTAATCAATAGTGCAATATTAACATCAAATCACACACAGCATTATATCTAGTCCTTTGGTATACCTTCCAAAGTCTGCAAATTTGACATATGGCTATATAAGAATGTAAATAGCTAAAAATTTTCAGATATAAAACATTGATTTAGATTTCATAATTAAAATATTTTATGATCTAGTGTATAAAAAAAATATATATGTAATTCCATATTTAGAATTGTAACACCTAGTATAAATATAAATGACATGATAAAATGTCTCTCATCACATAAGAAAGCATTCTATTGACTCTTATGACCCCTGTCATCAGGAGTGATAACTAGTACCAATTAGGTTGGAACTAACTGCATCCCCAGCCGCATATCTCGTGGTTTGTGCGTGACGTCACATAACGGCTACATCTATCTGAACGCAGGGATGCTGCGCGATTCTACTTGGTCCTTGCAGTGACATGTTGCAGAGTCCTGCTCCCAGAGCGACAATTATGGCTGGCAATACAATCTGCATGGTATTAGCAGTCTCCGCCTGAGCCGTGGACTTGTGACTACCTTAACTTGGATTTACGTTCAGAGGCTGGACTTCCGGTTATGTCTAGTATTAAGCAATTTACGCACATCAGAGATAGACTGTAAAAGTCATATATTGATCTATTGGATAGTTGATGGAATTATCTGACAATGACGCAAACATCAAGAGTGACATATTTATGCATATGTACGGAATTACTCAACTGGCTAGTCATACTTTTGATCAAAATGTCTAATTGCAGAAATAATTTACTGACGGTAGCTATACGATACGTTGGCGCGATACACGTAATGTATCGACAATTTTAAATTCACGTGGTATAAAATAGAATGATTGGAACTGTAGGACCCATTGAAGCTTTTCTGTGATAAACTCGTGACGATATTACTTTTCGAGTGGAGCTTAGAAAATTTCTTTTGTCTCTCTTATTGTTTTCGAAAAGTTCCTAGAATTTCCCCTGGACTAAATCACGTCGTCTTATCTTGATGAGTTTTATCGATAACCAGTAATCCGAAGCGTATCGTTTTCAGTACGTGATAGACTAGTATCGACGGGGGATTAACAATCGGTATAGCTTAACAATGGAGTATCAACTGATCAATATGTAATATAGTTATTTTAGATATTTTTAGATATAGATATAGTTTTAGATATTTTAGATATAGTTATCGATGAAAAAATGTAATACATTTTTAAATTAACTTATCTCTTATATGTATGTTAAAATTTTACAGTCAGCGAAAAATTTTCAGAAATAATCGATTGATCCCGATCCTTAATTTTTCTATGCTATGCAAGGATTGGTGCGAACCTCGAGTCACAAGGTATATGGATAAAAGATAACAGTGTACTACCCGAACGAAACAGTTGTGTAATTTTGGCAATTAATATGCATCGGGGCTAACTTCTAGATAGTACTTTAACGAAGCAACTAACTTAAATGATCGGATTAATTTTCTCCGCTGCATTCCACACCTGCCATAAGGATTTAGCACTGTTATGCAGCACGGTCAATTGGATTTGTCCCAGGTCCATTTTACAAAGTTTCATCGTTAAAAAGCATTCGGATTAAATGTGGATTGAAAATAAGTTACTGCGGCGATTCTAAAAGAAATATTATCTTTCGATTTACACCATTGACCGTCAAACTTTTTCCCAATTGTACTATTGCATAGTGTGGCTTCAGCTTATAACAAACTGGTATCGCCATGGTACTTCAAAACTTAGCAACTGACACCATATATCGTTTTCAACCACAACTGCATGACACATGTGACTGTGTTTTATCGCAATTAACATCACAAAAAAATAAGATAAAAGTGCGTGAATGCGAATATGTATTTTCACAATTGCAAAACGAACATTTAACATCAAATATATCAAAGTTTAAACATTTTGCATGTAGTTTATAACAGTAACAAATACATAATCCCTTAGCAGTTTCACTGTTAAGAATCACATGTATGAATGTTATATTGATGACGCTAAATGCATAAAATACACTCGCATGGCTTATATTAACCTCATCAAGACAAACCTGTTTGCCTTGGTACTTTAAAAAAAATATTTTCTCTCTTAGTTTAATTAGTACATACGCCTCTGGAGGTAATCGCGCATAATACTATCATTCAAGCTTTAAAATTCTTTTAAATCCATAGGTATCTTTTTCATAGCACATATGCGTGGCTTTCCACTAAAAACCGTAAGCATTCATCGACTTTCTTCAAAATAATAATATCGTTAATGGTATCACTATATCTACTATCTATTAAACATACACACAAAGTTATACAGAAACAGACTTAATAGACACAAGAGAATAACGCGAGATCCAAACTTCTGTACGTCTCTCGCACAACTAATAGGATCTTGTTGGTAAAATATGCTGAAAGGTTGTTGTGTTAACACCGATTACATTATGTAATATGATCATACATGGATACGTTGATTCTAGTTGTTATGAACGTAGTTACTCATCCATTTCCGCATATAATATTATGATAACTAATATTGCTACATCCATAAATATATGTATATGAAAATAATAAACCTGTCCTAAATCTTAAACACTATAGTCACGAGCGCACATACTAGAATCATGGACAATCCTGAAAATAACGCGGTTACCCGATTACACGAAATCCTTGAATATTTGTTTTTTCATTTTCCTAAGGAATTCCATTCGTTCCACGCAATCTCACGTATAATTATTCCTGGAAACGTTTCTCGAGCGAATGTATTAGATTTCCACGTGATAACTTGATTCTGTAATAATCGAAGTCTTCAGGCAATACAGGTAGTCTCATATTTCGCATTCGTAAGATCTGTAGAAAGCGTGAAACGTAAATTGTAATTTTCAAGTAAATACAACTTTTTATTCATTCACTCGTAGTTTTCTAGTTAATTCTTTGGAAACACCAGAACGAAAATGTTGTTACGTGTTTTGGATATTCTAACGATTTATTTTGATTCCCCTTATATAATCGTCACGAGTGCTTTGGTTGAAACCTAAAGAAAATAATGCATCGATTGTTCAGGCTAGGTTGGGTTAGGTTTTGTCGTCCCGCGAGTGACGCATTCTGCGGATTTCAACATTACTCTCGAAGACAAGAGTAAAGAAGCTGCACGGTATGGTTGCCGAGAGAAATACGAGCGTCGGCTTTATTTATCTCCATTAGCGGAACGTATAGGAGTAAGCAATCAGGTTAACCGAAGCTTCGAGTAATGGTTTTCTTCTAACGGTATAAGTATTTTCCATGGACCATGTTCACCCATACCACGTTTCTTCATGGCTCCTTTACTTCTTTCGAAATAAAATTAAGCTAGATACAGAAATACGTGCCTCTCTTTTAAGATCATACAATAGATAACCTTATAACCGAAGAATTAACTTATTACAGATCACGATGTCTCATTTGATTTTCGTCTGATTAGAATTATCGAATGTTATATATTCAAATTGTCGAGTGGACAGATAAATATAATAATCAAAGAGATAGTAATTCATATTTATTTAAACTGTCCTTACCATACTCTGATACACAGTCATTTCGAATTATTGATTAAATTCCAAATATTATTTTGGATTAATATTCGATTTTCTTATAAAGTAAAATATTTTACGGGTATATGGACTTTTTGAGTTTTTTTTTACGAAGGTCCATTGGTTGTCCATTACGATATACAACTTTTCATATCAGCTCTAATCAATATCCAAAACCAATATCTCGTGTGGATAACCCCCCCCCCCCTCCTGCCGTCTTATCACATTCTCGTCTTT